AACATCATTCAGAAGCAGAGGCCTTTCAGGTACATGCAAATAAATGATTTGCAAAGAATCATCAAAAATTGATCTCCTGTTTAGAGCTGCACATCATTAAATAAATGTGGGATTCAGTCATAAAAGGAAAAAAAAAATGCCTTGACTAGCCATGTTTCATTTTCTAAAACAGAAAGAGAGAAAAGGAAGAAATGAAAGAAGGAAAGAAGAGTTTTTTTAAAGCTCTAAAATGTTGTGAGGAGGTAGAAGAGAGTGGGATTGGAGGGTTGTGGGGTGGAGAAGGATTGGTCCTGCCCATCTTATTTCCATTTACTGACTGTGTCGCCTTGGGACAATCAGTTCATTTTTCTGAACATCAGTTTACTCCATAGAAAACAGGAATTATAATGCTCATCTTACAGGGAACAGAACGATATTTACACATAAGAGCTTTGGAAACCATGAACTCACATAGGTTAATTCAATGTGTGAATTTAACTTCTGTTGATGATGGCTTTGAGTATTAGTCAAGTCTATACACGAGTGATTTTCAAACTTCAGTGTCCACACAAATCACTGGGAATCTTGTTTAAAATGCAGGTTTTGGGTGGAGCTTGAGATTCTGCATGCCTAACCAGCGCCCAGGTAAGGCCAAGGCTTGGTAAGCTCGCCTGGTTTTTGATAATATGAAGGGCTGCTTCGCCACTTCCACATGCTGAGCACACATTATTTATTGGATCACAGCGCAGAGTTAGTTGTAAGTGCTGCTGCTGATGTCATTCGAGTTTTTTTTCACGGTAATAAATATGTCCTCTGGGAATGATTGCAGCCACCAGAAAGGACTGTAAACTGAATGACAGGGTGAGGCAAGTAGGGGAGAGAGTGATCCCTGGAAGAATCTGCTGCTTCTCCTCCTCTCTTGGCTGTCACTCATGATGAATGGCTCTATGCAGAAAGGTTGGACTCAACTGCAGTGGTGACTTGCAATTAAACTCCCCATGCATTCTTTGCTATGCCCTTCGTTAGCATACTGTCCATAATATGTTCCATAATTACAGTCCATAATGCATATCATACCAAGGTGGAGACAAACCCTCATTTTGGTAGATTGTTACACACGCAAGTATCTATCTCTCTTATTAGGGAATTTAATTTTATACCTTGAAGCAGAAGTTTTGGCTTCATAACATTAAGACGAAGCAATAATAAGAAATACAAATGACAAATTACAATGAATAGTAAGGAGGCAAGTCATCTTCACTAAAAGACACATAGACAGCACAGTCTCCACTTTGTTTTTTTTGAGACGGAGTCTCACTCTGTCACCAGGCTGGAGTGCAATGGCTCTATCTCAGCTCACTGCAACATCCTTCTCCCAGGTTCAAGCAATTCTCCTGCCTGAGCTTCCCAAGTAGCTGGGACTACAGGCACACACCACCACTCCCAGCTAATTTTTGTGTGCGTTTTTTTTTTTCCCCCCAGTTTATTTATTTATTTATTTTTTGCTTTCAAAAATTTATTTATTTATTTTAAATTTGCAGAAAAAATGTATCATATACAATATGATTTTTTTGGGGGGGATTGTGGTTATTTATTTATTTATTTTCCCCATTTATTTATTTTATTGCATTTTAGGGGGTTTCACCGTGTTGGACAGGATGGTCTCGATCTCTTGACATCATGGTCTGCCACCTTGGCCTCCCAAAGTGCTGCTTTACAGGCGTGAGCCACCGCACCCAGCAAGTCTTTTTAAAATCAAGCCATTCATCCAACAAATATTTATTGAATCCCTACAGCAGGCCAGATATCATTCTGGGATCTAAGATAAAGGATTGAAAGAAACAACTTCTCTATTCTGACAGAGCTTACAGTTTATATAAATAAGCAAACATAGAACATACTAGTTAAGGATAAGTAAAGAAAAAAAAGATAAAGCAAAGTAAGGAAGAAAGGAAAAGCATATTTGGCAGTTTAATCTTATATGGGGAGAAGATGGTAGTGATAAGGGGGCAGAGAAGACTTAAAGGAAGTGAGATCAAGAGAAATGGATGGGCCAGGCATGCTTGCTCAGGCTTGTAATTCTAGCACTTTGGGAGGCCAAGGCCAGAGATTGCTTGAGGCCAGAAGTTTGAGACCGATCTGAGGAACATAACGAAACCCCATCTCTACAAAAAATTTTTACAAGTAGCCAGGTATGATGCTGTGCAGCGGTAGTCCCAACTACTCAGGACGCAGAGGTGGGAGGATCACTTGAGCCCAGGAGGTTGAGGCTACAGTGAGCTATGATTGTGCCACTGCACTCCAGCCTGGGCAACAGAAACAGACCCCGTCTTAAAAAAAGATATATGGATATACAGTTAAAGAGATAATCAGGCAGAGAAAAAGAAGAATCAATAATTCCAGGACTTTTTTCTTTAAGCAACTGTAAAAACCAGGTTATCATTTTAATAAGGACCTTATGTATACAAAATGAACCAGTGTTAAAATATTCTGGGCAATATTTTTCTCAATTTAATTTAAAATTCAATTTTATAATGATAGGGAAAAAAAAAAAAAAGAAAATGGACATATTGGACATGAAAATCCAATATTAAGCAATCCTCTTTAAAATAAATGCAAATAATTTTTTAAAGCTAGAGAATAAAGTTTTATATAAGTTACTTTGTATACAACTGATAATTACCTCCCTCCCCCGCCTTTTTTTTCTGAGATGGAGTCTCTGGCACCTAGGATGGAATCCAGTGGCATGACCTCACCTCACTGCAACCTCTCAACCTCTGCCTCTCAGGTTCAAGCAATTCTCCTGGCTCAGCCTCCAAAGTTGCCACCATATCCAACTAATTTTTTTTTTTTTTTGTATTTTTAGTAGAGACAGGGTTTCACCATGTTGGCTAGGCTGGTCTCAAACTCCTGATCTCAAGTGATCCACCCAGCTTGGCCTCCCAAAATGCTGGAATTACAAGCTTAAGTCACTGCACCCAGCCTACCCTTTTTTTAATCTTTAATTTTTGTTTTGTCAGGATGGAGTCTTGCTGTGCTGTCCAAGCTGGTCTTGAACTCCTGGGCTCAAGCAATCCTCCCATTGCAGCCTCCCATAGTGCTAGGATTACATGCTCAGTACAATTACACTTTTAAATATACCAATTTTTTTTTTAAAAAGTTCACCTAATTTGCATACAAATATTCTGATAATCTATTACATACATCTTTTTAAAAACTGTAATGCTATGTATTTATTTTAGAACATCTGTTAATGAGTGATATGGTTTGACTCTGGGTCCTCACCCAAATCTCATGTTGAATTGTAAAATGCATATGTTGGAGGAGGGGCCTGGTAAGAGGTGACTGAATCACAGGGGCAGACATCCCCCTTGCCGTTCTCATGATGGTGAATGAGTTCTTACGACACCTGCTTGTTTTAAAAGTGTATAACACTTCCCCTGTAAGACGTGCTGGCTTCCCCTCTGCCTTCTGTCATGATTGTAAGCTTCCTGAGGCCTCCCAGCCATGCCCCCCGTACAGCCTGCAGAACTATGAGTTAATTACACCTCTTTTTTTTTATAAATTACCCAGTCTCAGGTAGTTCTGTACAGTAGCATGAGAATGGATTAATACAATGAGCAATAACACAACAGCTCAAATAAACACATCAAAAAGTCAAAAAAGAAAGACCATCTTAACAGATTTCAAAAAAGCTTCTGATAAAAATTCAACACCAGAGAACTTCTGCTTTCAGCAAGATGGGTAAACATACTTTTCATTATTCCTCTCACTAAGTAGAGGTAAAACCCTTGGGCATTATATATACACATAACTTTTTTATTTTTCAGACAGAGTCTTGCTCTGTTGCCTAGGCTGGGGTACAGTGGCACGATCTCGGCTCACTGTAACCTCTGCCTCCCAGGTTCAAACAATTCTCCTGCCTCAGCCTCCCAAACAGCTGGGATTACAGGTGCCTGCCACAATGCCAGGCCAATTTTTGTATTTTTAGTAGAGATGAGATTTTACCATGTTGGCTAGGCTAGTCTCAAACTCCTGACCTCAGGTGATCCATCCACCTCGGCCTCCCAAAGTGTTAGGATAACAGGCGTGAACCACCACACCCAGCCTAGGACATTACATATTAAATGAACATAAGAAGACTCTGAAAGGTGGAGATAAGAATCCAGACTGGCTATGGATCTTGGGACCCAGGAAATGATGTGTTGGTAAGTTTCCTGGGTTTTCTTTTTACTTCATATATTCTAGACTTAGAGCTGACGGAAACAGTAACCCCTGAAACACTAACGGGCACAGAAAAAAAAGAAGCCCATGAAATCTTGCTCTCTGTAACCAAAGGAACAAGAAAGGGCCAGCCTAGGAAAACAAAAAACTTTTAGCCAATAACCTACTTGCTCTACTCCCACCAAGCACCAAAGATAAGACTGTGACCTGGTCCTGCCTCCACCAGTGAAGACTGTGTAGGAAATCTAGATTTCCAGCCATCAGAGGCTGTACCAAGGGAGCTCAACACCACACCACACCATGATAGTATCAGAGAAGGCAAATAGGGAACTGGGACTTTCATCCCTACTGCTGGTAACAAGACTGTCCCCACACTTTGACCATGTCAGTGAAAACCAAATGGGGAACCTGCACCTCCACATGGCAACAATAAGGAGCCCTTCCCCTCCCCAGTGTGGTGGTGTTAGAAGGCAGCAGTGAAGACTCAGGGCTTTCCACAGTTGTGTCAGTGGAGACCGTCTGGGAAGCTAGAATTCCCACTCCCAGTGGTAAAAAAACCTGTTTCAACTCAGGTATCAACAAAGGCTCCGTGGGAGAACTGGACTTCTACCTCCATTTGTCAATAATGGGGCAGTATATCCCTCCAGTATACCAGAGTAATGTCAAAGAAAGTCAGATAAAATAGTTTAAATAAGATACAGAGTCTCATAGCATAGTATGAAAATGTCTCGGTTTCAACTGAAAATCACTCATAATACCAAGAACCAGGAAGAGCTCAAATTGTATGAAAAAAGACAGTGCTCTCTTCGGCAGCACGTACACTTAAATTGGAAGAATACAGACGATTAGCATGGCCCCTGCAAAAGGAAGACATGCAAATTCTAAAGCATTTCATATTTTATAATGCTTCCCAAGAAAATCATCCTTAAGGCACATAATTATCAGATTCTCCACAGTCAAAATGAAAGAAAAAAATGTTAAAAGCAGCTAGAGACAAAGGCCAGGTCACTTACAAAGGAAAGCCCATCAGGCTAACAGCAAACTTCTCAGCTGAAACAGTAAAAGCCAGAAGAGACTGGGGGCCAATATTCAACATTCTTAAAGAAAGAAGAAATTCCAACCCAGAATTTCATATCTGGCCAAACTAAGCCTCGTAAGCAAAGGAGAAGTAAGACGTGTTTCAGACAAGCAAGTGCCTTACAAGAGCTCCTGAAGGAAGCACTAAATACAGAAAGGAAAGGCCATTACCACCAACTACAAAAACGCATTGAAGTACACAGACCAGTGACAATATAAAGCGACCACATAAATAAGTCTGCATAATAACCAGCTAACATCATGATGACAGGATCAAATCCACACATATCAATAATAACCTTAAATATAAATGGGGCCAGGCGCTGTGGTTCACGCCTGTAATCCCAACACTTTGGGAAGCCGAGATGGGTGGATCACCTGAGGTCAGGAGTTTGAGACCATCCTGGCCAACATGGCAAAACCTAGCTTCTACTAAAAATACAAAAATTAGCCGGACATTGTGGTGGGTGCCTGTAACTTCAGCTATTCAGGAGGCTAAGGTAGGAGAATCGCTTGAACCTGGAAGGCAGAAGTTGCAGTGAGCCGAGATGGCACCACTACACTCCAGCCTGGGTGACAGAGTGAGACTCCATCTC